AAGCAATTTTAATAATTTGATGCTACAATCAAGCATCATATTATAAAGATGTTAATATGTTGAAAAATTGTTAATAAATTTATTGCGAAAAATATTACCTCGGTCGAGACTTGAATTCGGATCTCTTATATTCCGTACGAGCGTTCTAAGCCATTAGACCTCCGAGGTCTTAGTAATATTAACTAATAGGCATTTTTAATTTCTAGTATTGATTGTGTTCTCATATATGCTGTCTAAAAAAAAATAAAGATTCTTAAATATATAATAATTTGTAATAATTTACTTGCAAATTATATTATAAATTGTATTACAAATTGTTATAAATTTTAAATTATATATTATATACATTATAATAATTTACAATAAGTTATTATAATATATATAATATAGAATTTAAAATCATTTGAGATAATTTTAAAAACTGAACGCGCTATTCCTCGAATGATGCAAATAATTTTTTTCGACGATTTGTTATTGCAGACGTGTGCTGGTCGATTCTGGAGAAGCAAAGACGGCCAATGATTACATAAAACTCTTGGACAGTGTATTAAACGAGGAGAATGCGACTATTGAGCATTTGGTGGTCACACATTGGCATCACGATCACATTGGAGGAGTGGAACCCGTGCGGAACTTAATAAAGAGATTGTTTCCCATGGAAAAGCAGGTAACCGTGTGGAAATTGCCACGATCGCTGAATGATACAAGTAGCTCGGATTGTGAGAAATCAATTGAATGGAAACCTCTGAAGAACGATCAAGTTGTGGAGGTCGAAGGAGCAAAGCTTCAAGTAAAGTACACGCCAGGGCACACCAGCGATCATGCATGTCTGCTGCTGCAGGGCGAGAATATTTTGTTCAGTGGGGATTGCATCCTCGGGGAAAGCACGACAGTCTTCGAAGATCTCCACGATTACATGTTGTCGCTAAATAAAATCCTGGAGATACAGCCCAAGATAATTTATCCGGGTCATGGGCCAGTTCTTAACGATCCTATGTCACAGATACAGTATTACATTAAGCACAGGCAGCAGAGAGAGGAGGAGATTTTACAGATGTTGCAACAACAGGGAAATGATAAATCGATGACGGAGATGGATATTGTTAAGCTGATATATAAGGTAAATGATACAATAAATTAATTATTTGTGCACGTAATCAAGTTGTTTTTCTAAAGAAATTAATTGAAATTAAAAAATATTTGCACAGGGTACTCCAGAGAAATTGTGGTTAGCTGCAGCATTTACTGTGGGACATCATCTTCGCAAGTTAGCGAAAGAGGGGAAAGTGTTGCAAGAAGAAGAAGGTGGCTGGCGGAGAATTAGAGGCAAAATATAGATAGGTGTACCATATGAAGAATTTTTGTATAACAAATACTTTTTTCCTCTTTCACAGATTCCTTTTCCAGGAAAAAGTATATGCGTGTTAATACGTGTTTTCGTGAAATGGAGTTTTTGGTCGAGAACGACCAAATATATTTTTTACCATTTCTTAGTGTAACATAGCGTCTCAAGCTATCAAGTTGTGATAACATTTGCTTGATACGAAAATTTTGTAACCTATACTTATGAAATAGTAATTCACAAACACATATGTAGTTTGCATGAACAAATAACGTCGAGTTTTGGAATTAGACTTAGACGCTTTATCGCGACAAATTTGTTATACGAAAATTGACAAACATGCTTGTATCATAGGTTGCGTGAGATATTGTATATAGAAACATGTTGATACGCTTAAAAAACGGCAACCTCCGGTGACATCGTCTCGGAGTTCGAGCTTCGCTTTAGAATCCCCTAAGGAGTCGAAATAAAATTTTGATTGAAAACTTATTGTATAAAATGTTAATCCTGGAAAGAAATCTTAATTGTATTTTATGTATATAAAATATATAAATATAATTTAAATATATTATATTAATGAAATATATTTTAATATAAATTTAATTACGATTATATAACATATATGTATATATATATATAAATCTAAATTAAGTTTTTCGTGAAATTCTAAGAACCTCAATCAAGACAAAGAAATTTTATGGAATGCGCGAGAATACCGTTGTGAAACATTTATTCAACTTACAGGAGTAAATAATGATACATTGTTACGAATTTCTGTCGAAGTTAGGCTGGTATTTGTTATCAATGACGTGCGTATAACGAGAAGAGCACACGTTTACGACAATTTCACGAGATACATACCGCAAGTGAGATACACAGTTTTCTTCCCAGTTGAAGCGAATCATTAATCATCGCGTGCAGCTACGGACACATTACAACGGTCAATATAAAATATATATATATGTATATATATATGTATATGTATATGTATATATATATATACTATATATATATATGCGTGTATACTTGATTAAAAAAACATGTTGCTGTCGCGACAATAAATGTTTCGTTACATTTTCATTATAAAATCTCTCTTTCTCTCTATCTCTCTTTCTTCTACTAGCTACATAATCTTGGCGAATATTAGCACCCCTCGTCTTGAACATGTGGGGAACTACCCCGAAAAATTCGATGTCGCGATATACGTACAAGAGATATCGCTAAAGTGCGAAATATGAAAGCTCAAGTTGTCAATGATTTTTTTAACATCTAGGAATTCGAGAGATCAACAATATGTAATCAGAAATTCAGTACAATACATGAAATTCAATAATAATATAGTATTCTTAGGATTTTTTGGAGGGTCTATAATCCTGAGAGAATGAAAATTAAAATTAAAAATTAAAAATAAAAATATTAAAATTAGGAACATTAAAAACAAGAGATGTTCTATAAGACTTCGAAAATTCAATAATTCGAGGACTTAAGAAATCTAATTTATATATATAGATTTGATGATCATCGTTAATCTTAAATCCGGAAAATTAAGAATCCAGACACGATCATGTAATTTTCCTTTAGAGATCCAAAAAAATTTTATGTAAACTCGCCGTTTAATTATTTTATTCTTTCTTTTAACATTTTAAGATTTTAACCGACATGTAATTGTTCCGTGATTCGTGAAAAAGTTTAAAATGAGTGAAGAATTAAAAGTTGCATGATTGGTGTCCTGACGATTTATATAGAGAATCTAAAATATACAGAAAGAAAAGTATAATCACTGTTAAATTAAAGAGCTTCGCAACTTAGCGCACTTTAGTTACATCCAATATATATAGTTATATGGACGTATATGTCCTTAATAAGCTCACTTTGTAATATTTAGCCCGCTCTCTACTCTTTCTTTGGATAAACGTAAAAAATATATATATATATTTATATATATATTTATATTTATATATATATGTATATATACTACTTCAACATGCAACATAATCTCTCACTCTCTCTTTCATTCCCCGTTTTCTATTCCTCTATGAAAATAATGATAACATTAACGCATTCACATAACTCTATTATCATTATCAATATACTAGATAACAAAAAAGAGAAGAAAACAAAATAACTTCAATTATCAAACAATATACATATTCTAAATCTGAAATATATACTTGAGACATGTGAAGGCCACAGCGACGAGATGATCCATTCTTTCGCAATGAAATCAAGTCAATAATAATCACAACAGCGTAAACGATAATGATTCATATAATTACGCGTTTATGTTTCCGGCATTTTTTTAACTTTGCAAAAGAAAAGATTCCAAGATTCGAGAAATGAAAACTGGAAACTTGGCCGGATTTTTCTTCTTCGCTATCCTTCGATTAATTTCTTAATTTCTTTTGTCAATATTAAACTATTAATAATAATTAACTCTAAACCACGCTGTTGGATCTCCCAATTGTACGTGGGATTCACATACAATTGGATAGTTTTAAAACGCGACGTTTAAGGATTAATTAATTATCTGAACATTTACAATATATTTCTCTACGTTTGCATTATTCACTAGGTAAAGTCCTGCAAATAAAAAGAATTTAATTAGATCAAAATGACGCATAATATGCAACGTACCTAGTCGCGTATATCGTTGAAGATAAATAACGAATCGCCAAGAAAGATTGACAATTCATAGAAAAAAACATACAAAGAAAGAAAAGATGTGTGAAAGAGAAGAACATCTGAATTTGTCGCGCTTTCTCGTGCGCCCGTCTTATACTTAAATATTAATAGTTCTCGATCTAAGACGATCTACTGCTGTGGACTTACGGCATTTCCTTACCGTGAATCACAGAACGATCAGGAAGTATCTCTGAAAACTTTGGGTCATTAAGAAATTTGTTATAATGCTTTAAATAGCGAAATGTCTTATAAACATAATAGTCTTATTGTATAGTATCTTATTGTATAGTACCGGACAAAATCAATTAACTTTTTGGGAAGGATGATGAATTCTGAAAAATATGTGAAAACATTCTTACGTCTTCGAAAATGCACGAAATTCTCTAGAATGCATATTGCAGTAGCTATATGCTATTATGTGCTACTAAACATTCGTTTAGAAATAGTCTAGCTGTTCAGCTAGACTCTGCCATATCGGAAAGGATTAAGATTAGAATGTCGGAAATCGAGACCTTTAAAATCCTAAAATTAAGATAACTTCGAAGAGGATAATATGCTCAACTCAAGATAAACGTGCAGAGACCCAAAGTTCACTTACTGCACTTCTACTTTCCCCCTTTTATAAAAGACTTCGCATCACAAATGTGGCACAGAATTGTCAATATCGGAACAAAGTAACGACCTTGCAATCCGAGTTGAGATTAATCCTGCACAATAACAAGTCAAGACGACACAAGGTTTAAAAGACATACGAAGGACGCTCAAATTTAAATTCTAATTTAAATTACGCGGCTAAATAACGAAGCGCGAATGCAGTTCGCATCACATGATCCTTTGAAATGTGTAAGTACTTTCTTGATAAAATCGATAAACCTGCGCAAAAATTTTATGAAAAGTACACTAAATTTCATGTACATGTACACAAATATATAATTTTCAGTTGCACAGATACATTAAATTTAATTTATGTAACTTAAAAGTATATTAAATTTCATGACATTGTTAACAGTGTATATTTATCTCGTTTTAAGATATATTTATCTCGTTTTTTTTAGGGATTTCAAGCAACTCTTAAAACGATCTCATACTCACTTCTACCGAACTTCGTATTAGCAGGGCTATCAATTTTTTCAAAAAAGTACATATTTCAGGGCATTATCGCATGCATTGTTATTTGAACGCACAATTTAAATAATAATTTAAATTTGAACGCCCGTCTTATATTCACTTATAAGACGTTTTAATTGTTTAAACGTTCTCGAATCCAATCCCACATTTAGCTAGTTACGGCCTAGTCTAAGCTCCATATAACATTTGATACACTCTTCAATATAAGGCAAGTGAAATTTAAAACCAACCGTCTATATTTAGCACCAAATGTAGGACACGGAAGGCAGTTCTTTAAACTTTCATTCGGAAACAAATTCGTTGAAGAAAATCATCCTCTTCGTCTTTGTTGCGAGACGCAATAGTACTACAAGAGGAATCCGCTTTGCGGAAGCTGCTCGAAACAGTTGGGATTGATGTAGCTTAGAAGATCATGTTCCGACATAGAGGTGAGTTCTTGGGGCAGCATTCCATCCTCCGTTTTCCTATTAGTTGAGGTACTCGGAGCAGAATTGGGAATCGGAGCGTTTACAGTCTGGCGATTTGAAGTGACTGGGAGTGCGACTGGTGGTGATTTGCTGGCGACTTGTTCGATGATGTTGTTTTGTGCCGAGGGAGATTTCGGTAGGATTCCCTCCATCGCATTATTCATCAATTGCGCGCTTTGAGTCGCCACGCTGTTCAGAATTTTCTTTGTGGCGATGATTGCGTGAGCGGTAGTTGTCGAGATCGGCCGATTGTTGATAATATCCTTTGTGGCGTTGGTGATGACACTGTTGATAGCTTGTTCCGCTGCGTTGGTCAAACGCTGTTGAGAGGGTTCCTGAGCAGCTCCACTAGCTAAAGCAGAGCTAGCTTCGGCCACAAAACCCGCAGGCTGGTTCAACATGGAACCAATGTCTTGCTGAACAGCCTGCTGCATGGCTTGGGCTGCTTGAGCCTGTTGGACAGCTTGCTGCACTGCTTGTACCTAAAAAATTTGTTATTTAATATTAATTGCTGTCTAATTTGGAATCATAATTTTTAATAATTAATAATGATAAAGAGAAAGAGAAACAATAACTTTTTTTTTAAGTCTAGAATTATAAAAATTTTGTGTTATGTTGTTTTTAGATTTTGAAAGAAAAAAATATATACGTATATTTAAAAGTTTGTATTTATTTCTATATTTCTATTTATTATAAATTAAATGTACGATAAAATTACCAACCTGCTGCACCACTTCTTGCGTTGCTTGCTGCACTGCCTGTTGCACAACTTCTTCAGTAGCCTGCTGCACCGCTTGTTGCACCACCTGAGCCGCTTGAACTTGCTGCACAGCTTGTACTTGTTGTACCGCTTGCTGCACTACTTGAGCATGCTGCACCACTTGCTGAACTACCTGTTGCTGAGCCTGGTGCACTACTTGGACCGCCTGTTGCTGCGCTTGCGCAACAACTTGTTCAACTTGCTGCTGCGCTTGCGCTACTACTTGCTCTACTTGTTGTACCTGTTGCTGCATCACGGCTACCTCTTGTTGCGTGAGTACTTGAATCTGCTGTTGCATATGCTCTGCCGCGACTGCTGGTATCGCATTACCAGAAACCTGGAAAAAAAAAACAGAAAGAATATGTTATATTTATTTGCATTAAAAGGAATTTTATTCCAACTGGAAAATTTTTGTTATAAATTTTAAATTTTGTTCTAAAATTTTAGATTTTTATTTTTTAAGCTTTAATTTTA